TCACACTTCTTCAGCAGCACAACACCGGCAAAGCCGTCGTCGAGGTTCCAAAAGTAGACGCTGCTGACGCCGCCCTCGTAGTACAGCTCGCGGTAGACGTCAAAGGCCTCGTTGGCCTTGACCTCCATGCGGCGGACGCGCTCGCTGGGGATGGCGCCCTCGCCGGCGCCGTCGTTGGCGCCGCCGCCGCTGACGCCGCCGGGCCCGGCCTCGTCGAGCGGCGGGTCAAACTCGTTGCTCCAGGGGGACCGGTGGCTGTCGCCGTCGCGGTTGTAGTCGCAGAGGAGGTAGTCGCGCCCCGTCTGGCGGCAGCGGCGCACGCCGAGGGGCTGGTCGACCGACGAGAGGAGGTCTTCGGTCAGGTCGGGCGCCAGGGAGATGATCGAGCTGAGGTGGGTTGCCGTGTGCTTGGGGTTGAGGCGGCGGAGGAGGTCGCTGGGGGGCGGTATGTTAATGGGACAGCAAGGACAACGGGGAGCAGCAGCAGCAGCAGCAGCAGCAGCAGCAGCAGCAGCAGAAGGGGGAGCTTACAGCGCCGAGTCGAAGGGGTCGGCGGACGCCATCGTGATGATGCGATGTGTGAATGGGCAGAAGACAGCGATTCGAGTCCAATGCCGTTGGTGTGGACCGGGCGAGGGGTGTGGTGCGGTCGTGAATGATGGGAGCTCTCGTCGATTGACGTAGGGTGGTCTGGATTCTGGAGGAGCCGAACAGGCGATGGAGAAGGAGTAGTAGTTGTCGTCCGGGCGTGGCGGGGTAAGTAGCACGAAACGGGTGCTGATCTACCCCAGCCTCGACGCGCGCCGAAGCTCGCCGTAGAGCTTGGGGCCAAGGGGCCTAAGATACCTACCTATCTCCCTGGACACCTCTAGCTTAGGTACCTGCCTACCTGTCTCGCCGGCTTGACTGGATAGCTAGGTACCTGCCTACCAAGATAGGTGCTGTAGGGAGCTTAGTTGCTTAGGATGCCACCCGCCCATTACAGATTCTCGACGACTTTGCATGATGCTGTGTTTGCTTATAATTACAGGTGCCAGGCGCGGGCGGCTGGCTGAAGAGCTCGTGGTCAACACATCGTCCATATCCGCCGACACATCTACCAAGACGAACAGACAGACAGACAAACAAACACAAACACCAATGCTCATTCCAAAAAGAGATACGAACGAATATAGATGCCATCTCACCCCCAGGTCGCCTCGACCACAACGAGCACCAACGCGCTCTGTCACATCCAAAGCCTCACCACCTCGGGCCTCCTGCTACCATAGTCCCCTGCACCACCCCCGAACAAACCAGAAAGCCCCGACTCCAGTCCGCTTTGAACGCCTTGGTGAAGAAAAGAAAACCGCGCTCTCTGAGGGGTCAAGGGAAGAATCAAGAATGGAAGGGAAAAAATTCCCATCCGTCGAGCCTGCTGACCATGCCTGCCGGCCTTGCCAGTGACAACCCCCAACAAAGGGCCCGTGGGGGATAAAATAATAAATACAGCTGAAGAGGACATGGCACGACACTGGCACTCCCAGCACACAGCTCAGCCTTCCCATTAGCTGATGGTCGTGTGGCAGACGAGACACACCAGCGGCTCCGTCCACACCTGGACGCCGCCCGTCACATTGGCCCGCAGGTCCCGTATCTCGACGACATTCTCCGCCACCTTGAGCGTCGCCTCGAACAGGCCCTCGTACGGCCTGGCCGCGCTGGCCTTGCCGCGCTTGGGCACCTTGGTCTTGCGCAGCGAGCCCCGGGCGCCGCCGTGATGGTGCCCACCGTCGGTGTCCCCCTGGCCGCCGCCGCCGCCGCCGCCGCGGCGCGCTGTCTCGCGGCGTCGAGAGCCGCTCCTTGCCCACTGCGGCCGCCTCGGGCGACACGCCCGGCTTGGCGTCGATCGACTGCTGCACCTCGACACCGTTGTCCGGGGGGCTCAGCGGCCGGCCCGTTTCCTGGTCTGGCTTGCTGTCGTCCGTCTCCCCATTCTCCGCTGCGGCGGGTGGTGGTGGCGGCGGCGGCGCAATATAGGGCTGATCGGTACCAAGGACCGCAAAGGTCCGCATGAGGGCGTCGTGTTTGAGGCATTCGTCGTGGAGCCACGTGCTGCAGTTGGGCTGGGAGCACGCGACGAGCGTCTTGTCGGGATTCGCGGGCTGCTTGCACTTGCAGGTCCGATGCACAGACTGGCCTGGTCAGCACGACGAGGAATCCCACGTGCAGGAATGGAGGGGGGCTACATACCGAGAGGCTGAGGGTGCGAACATCGAGCGCTTGTCGCCAGTAGAGGCCGTCTTGGATCTCGTCGTCGTTCTCCTCGAACCACTGCTTGACCTTGGCCTCGGCCGTGACGCTGACGACGTTGATCACGTCCACTGTGCTGCCCGTTAGCCTCGTGGCGCCGTCTACCCCAGCCGAGGGAGGATACGTACTGTGGTTGGACGCGATGAGCTCGTTGACGCCGTGATACGGCTGTCGCCCGGCGCGCGCCACAAACTTGCCATCGTCCTTGGTCTGCACCGGCAGCTCCTCGGGCCAGTACATCCAGTAGATGCGCGCGTAGACGTGGTGCTCGTCCGCCGCGCGGATCTCCAGGATGCGGCCGACCCACTCGTTGGGCATCCTCTGCCGCACGCCGTTCTCGTCAACCTTGACCTGGTTGTTCGTCGGCGACGACATGCCGTTGGAGATGTAGATGAAGCCCTCGCTGAAGTACTTGGCCGAGTTTACTAGCGCCCGTCAGCTGGTTGGTCGCGAACGGCCCGGGGCAGGCGGGACGCGCAAAAGGGAAAAGCAGAGTCAAAACTCACAAACAAAGCTGTTGTATCTCGTCATGGCCATCCACTTGTCCCGCGGCTCGACCCAGTAGCGGAGATCCATATTCTCGTCATTCTTGAACGAGCCGGACGGCGTGAAGGCGAGGGCTGAACCTTGCGATCTCGTCGTCCTCGGTATCGCGCCGCCCGCGCCGCCCAGCTGCTGTGCTTGCTTCCGCCTCTTGGCCGCCTTGGGCGCCTTTGTCTTGATGTCCTCGCTCTCGTATTTCACCTCAAACGGGCACTCGGCCTTTGTGTCCTCGGCGGGCTCGGCCCGGCTGCGCTTCCTGGGGCTCGCCGACATTGTGTGCCGCGTGTCGCGTGTCGCGCTTTTGCTGTGTGCCCTTCCGTGCCGTTGATGCCGCGATGCCGGGGAGGGTGGAGGAATCGAGGGGCGAGAGCTATGCGCGCCTGAGGGGACCCGGTGGTTCGCGCAGCTGAGTAATGAACAATGTTGTCCTTGGCGTCCGTCGTGTGTCTTGATGTGTGATGTTTTTTTTTCCTGAACCCCTTCCCCGCAGAGATCGAAGGTTCTCGTCGCGCGCCACGAAGAAAAAAAGCGTGTCGACCTGATTGTTGACAAAGGCGAGAACGAGACGGAACAAGACGAGACAGAGTGAGTTGGTCGAAGACGAGGGAAGAAGGAAAGATAAATCCGAATGCGCCCGGAATCCCAGGCCGTCCAGCTACGCGATGCAATGGCGCAGGGGCGACTCGGAAACGGCGGCAATCGATTACTGACGAGGAGTGGAATCAATGACCCCGTGGGGATGCGACGCGGACGGAATCGCGGGTTGGGGGTGGCAGGAGGCGAGGCGAGCGGGCGGGTGGTGTTGTTGATGAAAGGTGCAGAGCTTGCATTCTGCTAACTTTCTTGGGCGTGTCTTTTGAGGGGGGCTAAGGTGGTGTGTGGTGAGGGGGGGGGGGTACTCCTGGCGTTTGGGGTCTACCGCCCGGTGTCTGGCGGCTACTGCTCTGCTGCTGTGAGGGTATGCAGGTCCCTAGGCAAGGCAAGGTAACCTTGGATGGATAGGTCTGTCGATTCGCAGGTGTCGTTGAGCAAGATCAAGATCTCCCGAGGTCGAGCGTAGACAGGACAGGCAAAAAAGGAGCAAGGTACAAGGGGAGAGAAGAGGTCAAGCGCTTTGCAGCAGCAGGACCCAGACCGGTGCAGAAGCGCGCGATCGACTTCTCCAGATTGCTGGCCGTCTAAGCGTAACGGGCAACGAAGCGGTCCCTGCTCGAACCAGCCACCCCGAAAAACACAATGTACTGGTAGCGTCCGGGGGGTGGGTCAGAAGAGGAGTGTCACGTGAGCTGTTGGCTGTTGGCTGTGGGCTCTGGGCTGTGGGCTCTGGGCTGTGGGCTCTGGGCTGTGGGCTCTGGGCTGTGGGCTCTGGGCTGTGGGCTCTGGGCTGTGGGCTGCGAGCTGTGAGCTGTGAGCTGTGGCCTGCGAGAGCTGGCGGAGTTGCTAGTCACCCTACCCTGTCTATCCCTTTAGGCCCGAGAACGGTCTCAGGAGCTTGGGAGCCAGGAACCCGGCTCAACCGCCTCCTGGAGAGATTTCTATCGGATATAGCGCGATCAAGCGATGTCATAACCCTCGTCGGCAAGCTGAATTCTGCCGTGGAATCTGAAGCTTCTAGTACGTACCGTCGCGCGTACCTGAGGTCGTTCTCAGGCCTCAAGGGATGAAGGTACCAAACGTAGCACCTCCACGTCATTTCGCGCCTGCAGCCCCCAAGGAGGCAAGGCACCTTACCAGTGACCAGTAGATGTACCTACCTAGGGTACCTACCACCTAGGTACCTTACCTACCTCCCTACCAACGTACTGGTGGCTTCCTAGCCTCCTGCACCCCTGAATCGCGCATCGTGTGCCATGCCTCTCCTCAGCCGGCCCGCGTCTCTCAGCCCCGAACGTGGTTGCCATAGACGAAATTGCTGAAGACGTGGGTTTATCTAGCGTGGCCGTATTCGCTGCGGTTGCATCCGGCGAGAAAGAAACAAGCATAGTACAAACACGAACACAGCGTGAGATTCGTATTGCCATAGATCATTTACATAAAAAGATAGCTAGGTATGTACTAGGTGAATACTATTATCAATCAAGTGTCGCGGTCATCTCCCAACGACCTGGAATGGAGAAGTGCCAAACGCCAACGCTATGCAGTCAACTAATGCAAAAGGCGGCATCCCCAACTCGGGATGGAGAAGGGGACGTGGGAATCAGGAACATCAGTGGCGCCTGTCGTTCTCCTCGTAGTCGTCGTCGTCGTCATCGTACGCGCTGAGGATGGGCCGGTCCTCGCTGCCGCTGTCAGTGTCTGTGCCCGCATCCTCCGACGCCTGCCGCACCTTGAAGCTGTCGATCGTCTCGGCCAGCTTCTCGCCCTCGCGCTTGCCACGATCAACGTTCACAAACCAGATGAGAGGCGCCGGCAGTCCTACGAGCGCCGCCAGGAACCAGAACGCCGGCCGGATGTGCCCCCACCGGTCAATGATGGCGCCGACAATCGCTGGGCCAAACACGCTCGAGCCCTTGTCCGTGATGGCGTACAGCGCGTAGAATGCCGCTTCCGAGCCCGGCGGGATGAGCTCGCCGTACACCGAGCGGCAGTACCCGCTGAGACCGCCGAGGACGAAGCCGTAGACCGCCGCGAGGGGATACATCTCCCACGGCTGCTGCAGGCCGCCGACGCCCCAGGTCTGCACAAACGGGAGGTAGCCCAGGAGTCCGTAGACGGGGATGACCTCAAAGAGC